AACTGAACAGCATTAATTAGGAAAATAGTGTCAATAATGCAAAATGACAATAGTAAACACAAATTTTTCAGTTAAAGACAGTTCATCATTGAATTCAGTGATGTCAACATCCAGCTCAGTTTAAATAGTATCTTTGCAATCAAGTCAACGGTATCGCTGGAAATGAAGTGTCCCCAACTAAGCAAGCCAGAGGCGACAGCGGCAAGGAACCAAAACTCCATCGGTGACAGAATGGAGAAAAAACCTTGGGAGAAACCAGGCTCAGTCGGGGGGCCAGTTCTCCTCTGACCAGACGAACCAGCAGTACGGAAAAATAATGTGCATTTGATCAGATATAACTGCAGTAAAAGATTATGAGAATGTTTCTTTGTATTTGTGTAGTTTGTCCACTGGATGGTGACGATGTGCTCCCAAGATTAGTTGTTCAGTTCAATTGCTTACATTTTAGTCTATTCCTTGCAAATTGTTTGGCTTTAGGAGCATGGAGGTATATATTTATTATTATTATTTTTTTTTTTTTTTTTTTCATTAGCCTGACAGCTGCTGTCTCAGTCTTTGTGAAATGCATACTTTATTGAAATAGTTTGGTTACACTTACCAGAATTTCTTTGGAGGTGGCCCTGTGCAAACAGAAAAAAAAAAAAAGTATACTCCGATATATGAAATCTCTGAGCTGATGCGTAAGTATGTCCTAAATTGTTGAAAACACTTGAGACTGGAAATGGTTTGGTCACTATCGATAAAATTTGCAAATCAAAGCACCACTTCAGCATCCATAAAGGGGAAATGGTATTGTGCTCCTGGTCTGGTCTTTATGTTCCAGCCCACAGTGAGTCATCCTGAGACTTTGTGGGGTATTTCAGTAGAAAAGCCCTTCAAGGCCCACTTTCTCTGAAAGCTTTGAAATGCTAACAGCCTCTCCTACAAGCATTTAATTGACCACCATCATTTCATGCTGTCATCAATGTTTTTTTTGATGGTATGAGCTGCACTGAGAAGTGGATAGGGCACTGGCTTTAAATGTTATTGTTTTTAATGGCAGCAAGCTACAATAAATGTGTTTGAAAGGGATGTCTTTATTCGCAGTATAGATAACTCATTGTTTCCATCATGCAGTTCCAAAAACATCATAAAAATGAAATGTTTCACAGCAAGCAGTTCATAAATTGTTTAAAAGCAATTGTTTTCTGCTCATTAAAGGTGCACTCAGTATTTTTTTTCTCATTAAAAAGATTTACGTGATGTAAACACTTAAAAAAATGTTTAAAATCATGTACACATCACATTACTAGCTAGAGCATTTTTTACTCACAAAATGAATTGATAAAATTATCTGTTAATTTTGACTAGTGAAATGTCATTTCAATAGGAAGCTATAAGACTGGGGATTTTGTGTGAGGGCTTAATATTTCCTCAGATTTTGCACCAGGTTCAATTTGGTCACATGGATTTGCCACATTGAACAACAAAGTTGCTGCCAAACAGTTGCTGGTAGACTTTGACTTCCATTTTGTTTCCATATTACAGAAGACAATGGCTACCAGCAACTGCTCGGTTAACAGCATTCTTGATAATATCTTTCGTGTTCAACAGAAGAATGAAACTCTTACAGGTTTGGAACAACTTGAGGGCAAGTAATGCCAGAATTATCATTTTTGGGTGAACTCTTCAAGTGCCTTCTGGAGAGCTGTGCTACTCTGACAATAGTCCTTTTTTACCCCAGAATTTTTAGGCCTCTGTGAATTTTTTTTTTTGGTGCTTCATTAGTGATGGTAGAATTTGCATATTTCGTGGCGCATTTCTGTTTGAAACACTGGGCAACTGAATGTCACGTTGGTAACAAGATGACGGTTCATCATATTTTTTTCTTTTTTTTTTTTTAAATACAGAGTGCACGATAACTGAAAACTGTTGACATGAGAAAGCGCTTCAGTTTTCATAACTGAAAACTGGCACGCCTGTAGTTGTTGGAGTTAGATATGTTTTCTGTTCTTTCAGGCATGAAATTTGCATTGTATGTTTATAATATCAGCATGCCTTTAACCATTAGACCAGTCGTTATTGTATAGCATCTCATCTTGATGGGTAAACAACCACATGTCACCATGGAAACTGAACAGAGCAACCCCTAGATTGGTAAGGTTTGCTTAGATTGGTCTTACTGGAAATGGGTATGATTTTCATCATATTCCCCTGGGATAAATTATATGGGAACTGCTAAGCTTAGAGCGTGACTGACCAAAATATATAATGTGTTTAATATTTACACATATGTATTTTGTTTTAGCTTGTGTGTGACTGTCAACAGTCAGTTAAAAATAATTCTAATAAAAAAATATAGTCAAACTCTAAAGGCTCTTAAGCATTTCCCCATTTTTGATTTTAGCATTTTACCCTATGGACATGTTAAACATCGCTTGCCAAATGTTTTATGTATAAGAATGTGAGTTGAGTGTAAAATCCACACTGACTTTCTGATTTAGGCTGCAGCTTGTTTACGCGTCTCATAAGGACACAGAATGGGGTTGAGTGCAATTTTGTGCAGTGTGATCCTCCTGATAAATCTAGCCGACATGCTGTGACTCTTGTCATTACTGTGCCTCGTGATGCTTTCCTCCACCCGCTGTAAACAGCATTGCTCTCTGATCCGCTGTTTATGCCATTATGTAACTGACACTCCAAACCACAATCACAAGGAGCCAGAGAAGCACATAAACGACATTTGCTGACCATAATGATGATGTTCGTTATTAAGGCCATTTGCTTATCTAAGATTCTGTATTTGTCTCTGCTGGCCGATTGAGACTCTGTATCCTTCCATAGCCATTTCCAGAGTCCATTATCCCTACTATGGCACAAGGTATACTCTATACACCATTGCTTTAAATGTCAGGGTGCCGCTTTCAAATATAGCAGGTGGACCGCTTCTGCTCCACCCACATGAAGAAAGCCACAGTAAACAGGATCCCTCTTTTCAATGACATTGTGAAAACAAACCAGCTTGGACTTCTTCACAGCATAGTTCCACTGTTGGTTTGACTTTCTGTGGCTGACAATCAACATATAAGAGTTTCAGGACCTATTTTATACCCAGTTTGTGAAAAATGCAAATAAAAGTATAGGCTAATCATTTAATTTGACAAAATGAACAATAAAAATAAAATGAAAAAAACTACATCCAGTTGCTTTAAGTTTGAGTCTGGGTATGATGAATAGATTTATACCATAATGTTTTTCCATAAAATGGTAGTAGATGGTGACTCACTGATGATATATTTTTAACCGACTGTCTCTAATGTCTGTAATTTTTAGATAATGGAAACAAAACATTACTCTGGTAAGCACACTGGACAGGGTAAAATGACATTTTGTTTCATACGAGTAGAAAGACAACAAAAGTCAGCAAAAATACAAAAGACTATATATATCAGGAGATTTTGTCTTTATACAACAGTCAATATACAACAGCCTCTTTATTTTTATCCTGATTCAAAAGCACTTATCCAGTATATTTCATAATAGGTTGTCTGCTGAAGAGATTATGTAACAGTGCTTGAGTCTCCAACCTTTACAAGTACCTGCAGAAAATTAACAGTGGTTTTTCATTTCTATATTTTTAAGGCTTTTGTGTTATATTTTTACCAAACAAAATTAAAATCTTTAAAACAGATTAAAGGGTGACAGTCTTATTTATCATTCAATATACAAGATGAATGTATATTTTCAAAATATGACAAATGTTTTACTTAGACGTCTCACTCATGATGTGGGTAGTGAACATTTTTGAGATAGTTTTTTTTTTTTTTTTTTTTTTACCAACATCCATGCAATCTACAGAACTATTTTATTTTATTTTTTCTTTGCTTTCACAATATAAACACTTTGTGATGTCTAACTGCCATGCATCCATTACAAATAATCATGAGGAAATATGCAACAGTTGCACAAAAGTACATACAGGTTCTACAGCAAAACAATACTCATACATACTGCTGCTACTGCTAATACATAATCCATGACTGGAAACAGTTTGTCTATAACAGCTCAAGAAACTAAACTCTCTCCTTTACAACAAAGCTGACATTTAGAATCAAATGCTAATATCACAAAATGATTCATTAAATGTCACTTCAACTTTGGAATTTGAAGAAGGTCAAAAAACAGCCATTCTGCGCTAATGGCAATGAAATGCAAGAACGGTTGCACTAAATATTTCATTACAAAGAACTAAGATTAAAATATTTAAAAGCCCATCTGTGATAGTCTCAGAGCACATCTACACATATTGTATGCCCTTAGTATGAACACTGTAAACTTCATAGTCAAAGGTCATCAAACACCTTCACTAGTAGCACAAAATGACACCTTATCAAGCACCATGAAATGAATGTGTCGAGAGTTTATGTAACAGTGTCTTTTAACAGCCTTCCTGAGGGAAGCAACCTTGTCATCCATGCAATCTATCCTGCAAACCTTGAGATTAAATTTTGGTCCATTCTCTGTATCCGACACCGCTGTCTTTCTCCATATAGCTTTATCCTCGGGTTTAATGAAATCCTGTTTTATGGAGCGGAAAAAGACTTCTGTACATTTTTATTTTTCAGTGAAACGAGATTGTCTCTTTAAATGAAAATCTTACAGCTTACTTTGTTGTTTGGGAAACTGAATTTGTGTATTTAATACATTGTTTGGACAGATTCCCAGGAAAATGCATTCACTTTCATTTAAAAATCTGATTATGGGAATCCACTTTGATGGCTCATATACCACTAATGAATGTACAGTAAATATCCTGTTGACCATTCAAGGCCACATCTTTGATGTCTTTCCCAAAGCATGATTACAATCTCGATGGTCCAAATGATCTAATTTCCTCACTTAGGAAAACATTTTGCAGATCATTTTAGAGCCATCCTTCGCTTTCCCATGTAGTGAAATTAAGAAATGTAGAAAAAATGACTAATGAACCAACATGGCATTTTGCCTTCAGTATATGGGCTTGCTGTCAAGTTGTATTTACCTCAAAGGAGCTTAAAACTCTCAAAGGAGATCTGGGTGACCTCAGACTGCAGATCTTTCTGTGTTCTTGGTTGTGTACCAGGAGGCATCTGGTCCAGGTCTAATCATGTGGGCCGCTTCATTGATTCAGACTTGGCGCACACCGAGATAGGCTCTCTGGTGGCGCTACGGGCTCTGGAAAAGCTGATCTGCTCCATGTGGGAACGAAAGGGCAAGCAGAATTCTCTGAAGCACTTCTTGAAGTTTTCATCCAGAAACGCATACAGGACCGGGTTGAGGCTGCTGTTCATGTAGCCCAGAGCAATACACAGATGCCAGCAGGCGACCACAAGCAGATTCTTCCGGTCGATCTCCACCACAGTTTTGATGATGATGAAGATATGGATGGGGGTCCAGCAGATGATGAAGGCTGCCACCACCACCAATACCATGCGGGTGATGCGCTGGAGGTTCCTGTCTTTCTCTTTGGAGCCGGACAGCAAGCGCACACTCTTGAGGCGAAGGATCATCAAGCCGTAACAGATAGTGATGACCAATACAGGAACCACAAAGGCGAAAATGAAAACACAGATCTTGGTCACAGTATCCCAGTACCAGTCTGGGTCTGGGAATTTCAACATGCAGACTGTTTTGCCTGTGGAGAATATATGTAAAAAGAAGTTAAGAAGGTGAGTATAGAGTAATTTCTTAATTAAATTTACTAATCAGTTCTAATTTAATTACTTTTTTAACAGTCCTCAAATATATCGTTACACAAGGTGATGACAAGTGACTTCCTGCATGCCTACTACTAAAACGTTAGACAAGTAGTATGTCCAAATTCATAGACCAGTACGTGAAAATCTGAAGTGCGCAAGAAGAGGATTTGTGAATGGCAGTGAAGCAAGACAATGCGATAATGACAATATGATAAATGTAGTGCGTACAAATTTCATCTATACTACACACATTTATACTATATAGAACATAATGTTGTCAAGGAAGTTTCAAACCAAATGTTGTACCTACTAAACACAATGCCGATTTGGACACAGTTATTGACTTTATGTTAAAGGGTTAGTTCACCCAAAAATGACAATTATGTCATTAATTACTCACCCTCATGTCGTTCTAAACTCGTAAGACCTCCGTTCATCTTCGGAACACAAATTAAGATATTTTTGATAAATTCTGAGAGCTCTCTGACCCTCCCATAGACAGCAATGTAATTACCACGATCAAGGTCCAATAACGTAGCAAGGAGATCGGTAAAATATTCCATGTGACATCAGGGGTTCAACCATAATTTTACGAAGCTACGAGAATACTTTTTGTACGCAAAGAAAACAAAAATAACGACTTTATTCAACAATTCGTCTCCTCCGTGTCACCCTGGTGGCATTTTGGGGAATATCCACTGAACGTAAACAGCGTATGCTATTCTGTGTCAGCTGCGTGACGCGGATACGTTTTCTAAGTTGTTTACGCTTTGATTTGAACGAAAACAGCGTATCCACGTGACGCAGCTTTTTGTTTTCTTTGCGTACAAAAAGTACTCTCGTAGCTTCGTAAAATTATGGTTGAACCCCTGATGTCACATTTGATGACACATTTGGTTTAGAACAACATGAGAGTGAGTAATTAATGACATCATTTTCATTTTTGGGTGAACTATCCCTTTAATGTCAATCAACCTTCCTTTAAAAAACGATTCATTAAGGACTCAAGACAAGTGACTGTCCTACTGAGCGAGTCATTGAATTATTCATTTAACCGATTTGTTCAAAAAGAATGATTCATCCAGGAAATAAACACTGTGTGTTGCTCTGGGAGCATTAACCAATTCAGCATGGATTTGTTCTTAACTATTATCTAAAATATTACTCAAATACTTTTTTCCACTCATTTTGTCCTCACCTGTGTCTGTCACTCTAGTAACGGCCATAAACATGACTGGGAAGCCGACAGCAGAGGAGAGAATCCATATGCAGATGTTGATGATCTTTGCTTTGATGGGTGTGCGGAAGTCCAGGGATCTCACTGGATGGCACACGGCAATGTAACGGTCTACACTCATCATTGTCAGAGTGAAAATACTGGTAAACATGTTGTAGTAGTCAATAGCAATGACCAATTTACACAAGAGCTCCCCGAATGGCCAGGTGCTCATGAGGTATTTGGCACTCTGGAAGGGTAAAGTACTGGTGGCTAAAGCATCGGCCAAAGCCAGGTTAAAGATGTAAATGTTGGTAGCTGTCTTCATCTTTGTGTACCTGAAGAAAAAAAGAGTAAAAGTCAGTCTGAGAGATTCAACGAGATAAGCAATTCATAATTTTGGAATGTCGATCCGCTGCACCTGGGTTTGCAGTGACGATATGAACATTGATGAATACAGATGCAGATGAATGGGATGCACTGATTGTGCATGATTTGAGGTTCTTCTCTGCTTTGCACTTTTCGTTATAAATATCAGATACGACTAACATGATGATCAACTCAAAAAATGGGGAAAAAAGAACCATATGTGCTCTTTTAAATTATTTTTTGTATATTGTAATTTCCTTTTCACTTATCCTATTTTTTTTCCTTTTTATTATCTGTGTCTTGTCACTGTCATTCTTCCTCGTATGTGTAAACATACCTTGCAATAAAGCTCTTTCTGATTCTGATTTTAACACCCTTCCACACTGTAAACAACTTTTATTTCAAGAATTAAAATGTTAACCTATGAAAATTATGGCATGCATTGGCACATTCATTATTTTTTTATTCTGGTGATGTGATAAAAACATTATAAAACATTTTTCAGAATTTGGTTTGTTATCCTATTTGCTTTCCATTAAAAACACAACATTTATAAAAGATAGTGTTTTCACAATATACCATTTTTTCTAACTTTTTTTCAGATACCGCTTACTTTGTTTATTTTTAAGCTACTAGTAAATATTTTTTTGAACAATCATTATTTTTGTTGCTCAGAAATATTAATATTATTATATTTTACATTATTACTATTATTCACTGATTGTGCATGATTTGAGGTTCTTCTCTGCTTTGCACTTTTCGTTATAAATATCAGATACGACTAACATGATGATCAACTCAAAAAATGGGGAAAAAAGAACCATATGTGCTCTTTTAAATTATTTTTTGTATATTGTAATTTCCTTTTCACTTATCCTATTTTTTTTCCTTTTTATTATCTGTGTCTTGTCACTGTCATTCTTCCTCGTATGTGTAAACATACCTTGCAATAAAGCTCTTTCTGATTCTGATTTTAACACCCTTCCACACTGTAAACAACTTTTATTTCAAGAATTAAAATGTTAACCTATGAAAATTATGGCATGCATTGGCACATTCATTATTTTTTTATTCTGGTGATGTGATAAAAACATTATAAAACATTTTTCAGAATTTGGTTTGTTATCCTATTTGCTTTCCATTAAAAACACAACATTTATAAAAGATAGTGTTTTCACAATATACCATTTTTTCTAACTTTTTTTCAGATACCGCTTACTTTGTTTATTTTTAAGCTACTAGTAAATATTTTTTTGAACAATCATTATTTTTGTTGCTCAGAAATATTAATATTATTATATTTTACATTATTACTATTATTATTATTAAGGATATAATAGATGATTTGGCTATAATGCAGAAATTGTGATAAAGTGTAGTTACAACATCTAACAGCAGGTGCTAACAACATGCTTTCATTAAATTAAGGTGTCTCAAGAGTCTCTCTATGATATCATACAATAATCAGCTCATAATTTTCTCTTTTTTATTCCAAATTAGTAGTGGGCTGATGAATGATGGGGCATCCTTTGAAAGGAAGTGACCACAGCTACTAAAGAAAAACCCAATGCCAAAGGCATAAATTTTAATCCATTGATTATGCTCTCTTAGAGATTTGTCTGGTGCCCACACACAGTGAGCTCTTTTGAGGACTTGGCATTTGAAGTCTCACAGAGAGGAAGAGAGAAGACAGCACACCCATTAGTGACACTACAGTTTGTTCCTCTCTTTGTACATGGCTATACATGTGGTGAGATGAATAAATCCATTACTATAAGTTCCATTAAGTCTTTTGTGAGTGCATAACATGTTTTGTTGTATATCCATGATTCATGTTTGCATCTCTAATTTTACACTAGTCCCTCATCCAGTTGTACTCTTATTTAGAACTGCCATGAATCACGTTTCACACTAATTCATTGTATCAGGGAACTTATTTCTGTCACAGACCAGTTCTGGAAAATAATGTTTAGAGGTAGAGCCATTTTATTGACCTCTGAATGGCGTGGGCATAATTTTCGGATGATTTTGAGATTTGTATACATTTTTGTATTGTTAGAAAACCCACTAAATACACATATAGTCACAAATAGTTTTTTGTTGTTTTATGCATAAACAACCAAAAAAACTAAATCTAAAAACAAGTCATAAAATCTCACGTAACTGTGTTTCTGCTTTCTTTTTTGGGACTTTTAGATATTTTTTACTGGAAAACAAGAAAGTCAAAATTCTTTTTTTTTGTGCAGCATGAGAACTAATGGATTCAAATGAGGGGGAAATTCTGATGTGTTTGCAATCTAAAAGGCATTTATTTCAAGTTTTTTGTCTGTAATTGAAACTTATGGGGGAATTATTATTGAGTTATTTTCACATCAGACTTCCTGATGTACAGTTTCTGCCTTCCAGGCTGTAGTGGCTGATATGCTTTAATATTCTCTTCTGCTACATTTTTTTTTATGTCCTCAAATGGGAAAAGGCTTCTGTGAAAGACTAGCAATCCAGACATTGCGAATATGATTAGCCCATTCAGACTGTGCCTCTTAGGCAGTGGCTTTGCACTCCTGAAGACATGTGTTGTGAATAGATTAGAAAGATGTGATCTAGCTGAATTGTAATAGTTATGTGATCTGAACCCTCTGAAGGAACATACCAAAGACTGTAGGTCTTTTTGGTTTTGAATTTCTGTTCCCTCCTATTTTCTTTTGCCTAAATAGGCAAAATACACACATTTTTCTAAAGCTGTGAACTACATACGTACACTTTCATACTTTATTTTAAATGTATGAAACCTAACGTAAACACAGCATTTTATTTTCTTATGAATAATTAGCTATGTGCCTGCTAACATCATTTTCCTGGGAATGATTCTACTCGAGCTGTATTATTTGTGCTTGAAATTCTTTTCATTTTATACAGCGTTTTAATGCTCGTTTCATATTTGGAACACCTGAATGGATTTGTACAGAATGCTTTATAAGCTTTAGTTGAGTTTGTGGAGGAATTTTTGACAGAGTTCTTGCAGGAATTTATGGGTTCTGTTTAAAAAAAAAAAAAGAATCCTTACGGTACATTTAGAAAGGGTGTTTAGAGGTTCTACATTGGGTTTCTGGGGAGCCCCAAATGGTGCTTCAAGTATCTTTTCATTTTTTACAGTATTAGAACCTTTACGGAGTTCCAACCATGACATCAAAACATTAATTACAAATGTAAGTTTTTGTTTTATCGCATAACGTATTTGATATTAACATACTTGTGATTAATTTTTAGCCTAATGAAGCCTTTTGTGGCAAATGTGTTTTCTTTTTATAAGAAAACCTTTTGCCTTTGTGGAGTCAAGTATAGAACCACAATATAAGGAACTCTCTCTCTTTCTCTCTATATAGGCTACACAGTGCTGGGAAGATTACAAATTGTAGTCAGTTACAGAAAACAAATTACATGAGAAAAATTGCAGTTAGTAATGTAATCTATTTCATTACACATTTTAGTTAATATAATCTAATTACTTTTAGATTGTTTTTGACCTAACTTGTTTATCATGTTAATTTGAATAGGATAATATTGTTCCATACTGACATAAAATGGAACAATACATTACATCAGGGTTTTCCCAAACTGGGGTTTGTGAGGAACAGCAGGGAGTTTGTAAACTGATGAAAAGCTAATAATGAATTAAATCGTAAAAGTATTTTATTTGTTTATGCTGTTAGGCCTCTCAATTGTCTGTTAATTACAGCCACCTGACTAGTGGCTGGTCTGTGTGCAATTTCACAAAACTGAACGACTTTCCAAACATATATAAGCAATAGGCTTAAATAAAAAAAGAAAGATAAAAGGAACAATTGGGAGGATCGATAAATTATGAATAATTTACTGCCATTTTTAAGCATTATTTAATCGTATAATCAATAAAAACAGTAACTGTGGTCTGATTATGAGTATTTTAAAAAGTAATATAAACTAATTACAAGTGTTAATTTTTTGTAATCTGATTACATAATCCAGATTTCATAGTTAATACCCAGGCACTGTAGGTGCAGGAAAAGGACATGAAATCAGATGACAACAGCAGCTTTAACAACTGAGTTTTGAATTGTTCATGATGTGAAAATTGTTCTTCCTCCAAAAACTACCCCTAAACTAAACTGGCATATCTGTGGGTGATATAATTTCAGCCCTCAGCCCTGTCTTTCACATTCCACCACTTGCTCAGATTCCAAACAAAACTCCATGTCCACCACATTCTCTGTAGATACAGGGTATATATCCCAGGGGTTCAGATATACCTAGTAGGATGCATATTTGCATGCTCATATCATTCTCTGTAGACTTTGTGCACTTCTTACAGTAAACCAGCAAAGTTAGGGCAAAGTGGGTTATCTGTGCTTGCTTATTAATGTCAAAGTGTGGTAAATTAAATAATTAATGATCATCCCACTTTCAGAGACTTCTAAAGTACATATTCACTGACTAAACCATTTCTCTTACCTGACCACACCGTACATAACCAGAATATTTCCAAACAGTCCCACCACGCAGATGACAGAGTACAGCGCGGTGATGCACACAGCGATAGCGACCGCAGTGCTGCCTCTCACCGCCTTCGGCTCGCTGCCTCCGCTCCAGTTAGACAGAAGTCCCGCTGGTTCCTCCATAAAGCTCACGTTTTGCTGAATTAAAGGATACCACTCGGAAAAATCACTAACAGTCACTGTTGGAGGCTCCATTATGCGCTTCCCCTGTATAATGCCAAACGCCTTCTAAATAAGTAAAACGGAAAGATTATATCTTTAAAATAAAAGATAGAGAAAGATATAGAACAGCAGCTGTAAGGACATCAACACTGCTCACTTTATGCAGACCTTCTTTTCTCTTTTCCTCTCCTCTCCTCTCCTCGGGAGTGCAGTCGACTTCCAACTGCTCGTGTTGCTGAGCACGCACTCGTACTGTCTTTCTCCCGAAGTACAACGGAATGGCAGCTGCTGCGCCCGCTCGACACACTGTAAACGTGTAGGCTACTAGCCATGCTAAAAGTGCGTTTGAAAAAAAGTTCCATTCCATGTCTACATAGTTCAGGTAAACACTTTTAATATTCAAATTTAACCATGGTTTTATTACAGTAAAAGTGTTACCAAGGTTTTTTCTTTTTTTTTGGCTTATTGATTAGGCTACCATTTGTATAAACAGTTTTACTACAAATACCATGGTTAAACTATGGTTAGTGTAGCAAAACCATGGTTAATTTGTGGTTTAACCATGTTTTTTTTGTTTTTTTTTTGTAGTAAAAACATGGTTAATTTTCGTAAGGGAACATACAGTTTACCTGGAAAAAAATACAGTTGTGTGGAAATCTGTGGAACATGAAGCCTAAAATATATATACTTTTCTGAGTGCCTATCTATCTGTCTGTTCATTTCTCCAGAACCACACTGCTGTAGGTCTTATCACCAGCCTGAAAGAGAAAATTACCAAAACACACATAAATCAGTGATGTTGCAAATTGCCAGCATTATGAAAATTAATATATATGACCCATGCTTAATCTTTGCTGCTTTTGCATTTGGGGTTTATAAGTTCTTGACCTCGCTGCTTTGAACTGACAGATTTGTCAAGACTATGGTTTTGTCAGGCATTGCTCTTGGCTTAATTTCCTGAAAAACAGGACACCATCTGGAGGCTTTGTATAGTAGCAAGCTGCTATACTGCATGTTGTTTTGGTACCTCTTAAGACATATTATTATTGAGTTCATTCAACTTGTAGGTTGGCATTCTTCATCTACGTCTATGTTCAATACTTTCTGTCTACATCACTGTACCAAGTCACATTCCTCATAAGTACAAACTTCAACTGACATAGTAAAACACCAATGATTATCAGGTGCTCGGAGGCACAATATCTATAAATTATTTCCCCACTGAGATCCCACTTAGAAAAAGAACACTGACCCTCAGTGGTAAATTTGCAATTAGTAAACATTTTGATAAAGAAATCGTGTTCAAGTGATTACATGATCAGTTCAATCAAGAAGAATCTTCGCTATTCCGTTGCTTCTAATCGCAGGGGTTGTGCGGAAATGAAATGATATAACAGAGGAGAATCAAATTCAGGCACTTGACACTATCCTCCCTGATGACTCTTAATGGCTCTCTGCTGTTGTAACATTGTACTTTTTAATCCAAAATTCATAGGATAAATATTAAAGTTACCTTTTGTATAAGCTTTTGTATCACTCAGGAAACAAGATGATTTTTGGAGCCTGTTAAAAGATGTTTTATGATTAGACAATCTGCATTGATTTAACACAGAAATCTACCATGATTTAAGACGACAAAATGTGCTATAAGATTCATTTGGAGTGAATTATTCTAATTCTGAGTGGCATATGAGCATGTCCTGGCAACTTTCAATGAGACTGAAATTACATTCGACTCGCATGACATTTATAAATGAATGACGCTGTATTATGGTTGTTAGGCAGTGAATTTCAGAGCATCCACAAGCTTTGATCTGGCTGTTTTGCTTAATGCCCCATAGGTCACCATTTTAGCTGGCCAGTAGAAATCTAAACTGAGAGAGCATCTGTTGTTACAGATGGCTTTATAAATATGCCTTGATGAGAGAGATTGGATCATTAACTCACATAGACCATTCCATTTCTGCTCAGGCAAAATATTCCTGGAAGTTCTCAATACAAGTTTTTCAAGACAATATAAAGGACCTTCTTTTTTTTTTTTATTTAACTAACTAATTATACCTGTATGTGTGATTATGGCAGGTTTGACAGAGACCAGATGCTGAACTTGGCCACTAACAGACTGAAGTCTAGTCCGAGAGCCAGATGCACCCATTAAACCATCTGACCATAAGCCAACGCCTTTAGTTGTGAATGAACTGACCATATGCCATTCAAAAAATAAAAATAAAAGTCTGAATACTGGCAAAATAAAATCCTGAGCCTTTTTAGAGTGTTGAAATAATATTTAAAATTGTTGACGAGAGAATAAGAAATATTCTTGATCTTCTGACTGTTCACATGATTTTGATGTCAAGCCATAAAAACTGAAGCCTTGCCAAGAAAAAAATATCACACAACCTGCCATTGTGTGCCACCATGATTGTGCAAAGAAACAATTAAAATGTAAGTCTTATTTTCAATATAACACTGTCTCTTATGTATCAAAAAACATGTACAGAACATGTCTTATGTACAGAACAAAACCAAATAATTATCATAACAATCATAGCCCCTCTTTTGACACAGCTTTATAATAAATGTATGCAAATCTGAGGGAAATGCTTAATGCAGGGTCTCAATCTGCGAACAAATTTGTAATTGTAGCTATATTTATCACTGGTTTGAATGCCAGGTAAGTTTAAGTGGTCTTATCTAGATTAGCACTTGATGTGAATTATCTGATTCATCATTCTTTCTTAAAAGGCCTCATTAAACCATACATCTAGAGTGCAGACAGAACATCAAACATTGAATAATAAGTAAACACTTAATTCAACCATGTAGTAATATGTGCTGTTAAATGTTATATTTTCATTAAGTGTGGTTAGACAGATTGCATAATGCTCAAATATTATGTACGAATTGTTACGAAGATTGTTATGAAGCCCCAGTGTGCCCAAGGATCAGTGCATGATAAGACAGTGGGTTTGCTTAATTATCATTAATGTGAGGGACAAAACAAGCCATGAATGTCATTTACATCTAATCAGTGTTTCTGCCTCTTGTCATCAGCAGAACTGATAAATTCAGGCTATAGTGTGAGTATAGAGTGAAACATTTCTGCTACGTTTACTGAAAATGTTCATTTAAATACAACATTATTTTATAAGGATTTTTTTTTTTACCATAGCAAGCAAATATTAAGCCCCCACCTAATTGTTCCCTTTTGTGGGTGATTGTCGGACTTCATTGTTTTTTTCCCAATAAAAACATCCGTGGCTAAAAGGCATTCTTATTGCAATTATAGTTTACTGCAATGCATGTCAAAAAATATGCATGTAATATGTACTCGCCATTCACTCTGTCCATTATACAAGTTTCTTCATATGGTTTTGTTTCTTCTGAATTAAATTTCCATAGAAAATAAATACTTAATATCATATAAAGTGTGATGGTTCACTCTCTCTCTCTCTTTTTTTTTTTTTTGAAGGGCTGGTGCATTAGATTGATGAGACTGGCCAGTGGGGACTAACTAGCCTTCTGCCCACATATTGGAACAGATCTTCTGGCATCAACACTTGATAAATCTGACTATCACCTCTCATTTCCATCTAGATCTGACCATCCAGTCTCTCACACCAGGGGTGAGCTTCTGCTGTAGAAATACACTCACTCGCCCTGCTTTTTCAAAGGATTTCAACGAGCGGTAAAATATATAGGCCTATACAATACTTACGGAATATAATATCTTTGTCTTGCAACCACACACTGCCATGAGAATAGTTCTTAAAGGAATAAATCACCCAAAAATGAAATTTTGCTGAAAATGTACTTAGGCCATACAACATGTAGATGAGTTTGTTTCTTCATTGGAACAGATTTGGAGCAATTTAGCATTACATCACTTGCTCACCAATGGATCCTCTGCCGTGTATGGGTGCCGTCAGAATGAATGAAAATCACAATAATCCACAAGTAATCTACAAGACCATCCATCAGTCAACATCTTGTGAAGTGAGAAGCTGCGTATTTGTATCAAGACGTTTTTAACTTGAAACCATTGATTCCGGCTCATCTGAATCAGGACAGAAATATGCACAGATCAAGCACCGTTTACAAGTGAAAACGGTTCTAAACAAATACGTTGGCGGGTTTTGATGTGAGAGGACGGACTTTTTCGGTGGAGAAAGTGTAATATTATGGACTCCTATTTTGGCCAGAAGTGACGGTTTGAAGTTAAACACTTTACAATTAATGGTTGTGTGGATTACTTGTGGATTTGGATCGGTTTTCAATAAAGAAACAAACTCATCTACATCTTGGATGACATGAGGGTGAGTAGATTTAAATTTTTGGGTGACCTATTCCTTAATAGTTCCAATAATTCCTTAATAGTTCCAAGGCGTTTTGTATTCATCAGAGCTTGCATTTCATCATAACATCTGTGGTGAGCTACTATCTTTCATTGCCTAGAGCAGTGGTCACCAACCTTTTTAGGCCCAAGATCCCTGACCTCGGCCTTTATGAAAGACAAGATCTACCTGTTGAAGAATTGATAGAAAAAGACATCCCAGATTGTACTTCAAATTTGAGGCCTTTTACTTAGTATTTTCACGATCGACGGGTTGGCGACCACTGGCCTAGAGTTTTCTGTTCTGATAAACAGAAGTGAAACTCAACAATGTCAATTTAGCACCAAAAACTACAATTTTTCCAAGCAGTTCCTAAACATTCAGGAAGGAATATAGCATTTGGTGAAAGAGAAAATAGCTTTGTGATGATAACAGCATCAAAACTTCTGAATGCTTCATTATCTTTGAGCGTAACAGCAACAGTATATTTTTTGTTGTTATAAATGGATCTAGCAATATGCATTTCAGAAAGCATTCTTAGCTCTGACGTATTTCTCTATTCAGGGAGAAGGGGTGTAGTGCTTCTCTTTGTTTGTCTCTTTTGCACATGCAAAACAATCGTGACTCATCGTTTAGTCATATATCACAATCGTCTTATAGTCATAAAATCCCAGGTGTCCTTCTTAAAGTGTCTCCATA